TCCACATTCAACCTGATTGTCAATTTTCTAAACTTCTTGTCGAGTTCGCTTGGACAAAATCCAACGAAACTGCTCTGGCGCATGCTCAACAATAGCCCTGGTGAATACGATAACAGCAATGGAGTTTGAACAGTGCTATCTAGGCTCTTCGTCAAATACAAGGGAAAGCCGATGAGCATGATATGATTCGTCATATCGCTGAATCACATCTCATTCAGTCGCCAACGTATGCGAAGCTGACAAAAAAAAGGACCTTCACGCAAAGCTACTCCACAGCACGTTTGCTGCCAACACCAGCTACAACAAGGTCGCAAACAGATCCGCGGCACCAGAGGTTGTTGAGGAATCGCCTGACTTCTCAAATGAACCAGCTCTTCAACCTCAAAGTATGACTCGACGATGTGATAACATTTCGCAGTGACATTCTTGAAAAAAATTCTCTCGATAAAATCCATTCTCATGGTTGACATTTTTTCGCTTGTGATTCGTTTGTAGAGATCAACGAATTCTTTGATTGGAATATCGTATGGAAAGTCGCGGCAAATGATTGCGAGATCGCGCTGGGTCAAATTTCGATCAAGAACGACATATTGACTGTTGATTCCGATTGTTTGAGAGATACCAAAGTAACTTTGACTAATATAGATCATACGCCCACCAAGCTTTCGACCACGAATAAAGAATTAGCCTATCTGAGCTTGAGTCTTCTTTGGTTCAAGGACCAAGTTATCGAATATAAATAATTTGCTTGTCTCGGAGTCATAATCGCTCATCACTGCGACTACTCCATTTTCAAAAATCTCGACGTTATCGATGGTATCCTTGAGATGATCGAAAAACGTCTCATTCGTCTTCGTGCATATGACGATCTTCGTGAAGCATTCATGTAGCAGAGCGATGATATAGAGGACGGTGTTGGATTTGCCACTGCCCGAAGGACTTACAACGCACATCCGAAAAGGCAGCGCGAAGTGCTCGTTCTTGGAGTACTTCTTGAGCTTCGACTTTGGTATGGATTGGTAGAAGCTGAGCATCCTTTCTTCGTTCATATATACAAGTAATCAAAATGTCTTCTCTTCCACCAACAATTAAAGTCCACTCTTCAATGCCTCTTTCTTCCTTGGATAAAATGATTACTTGACCATTGCCACCGCTGACAAGATATACCAGAAACTCAGTGGGACTGGAGTCTTCAGTTCACTTGCTGTAGCTGGAAATCTCGACGGTGGGGCGTTGACGATTGAAGGAGCTGCTGTTGATCTCAGTTCAGTGTCAGGTGTCACAGCTGGAGCAGTTACAGCATCCAAGGTTGTGATTGTCGATGCGAATAAAGGTATCGGCTCATTTCGTAATTGGACGGCAGTAAATCTTACTGGAACTCTACTGACGGCAGCGCAACCGAATATCACGTGGATTGGAACATTGTCATCTCGGAATGTGTCTGGAGGATTGACGGCATCTACGCTGACTGGAACGCTTAGCACAGTAGCTTAACCTAATATTACATCGCCTGGAACTCTCACAACTGGATTGGAAACAACGATCAACAACAGCACAACTTAATTTGCAAGTTATGCACGCGGGACAAATTGGCTTACTACGCCAATGAACTGTGTGCTCGAAATGTCAAACATCGCGCCTAGGTTCGGATCAATCTCGCAACATCCTTTTCGTATCTGTTCAGGCAATGTAAATGCGCTATGGATGGACGTGATCCAGAACGTGAGAATTGGAACCGTAGCACCAAGTGGAACGTAAAAGCTTGAGGTCGATGGCTCAATAAACGCTACCGCTATTAACATCAATGGCGTTGCCGTTGCTTCTTCGGCTGATATAACATCTATCACCGGTAGCACTGCGGGGCCAGCTTCCGCAAACAAAGCTTTGGTTGTAGACGGTGGTCTATATATCGCTGGAATAAATTCTCTCAGCGCAATATCATTGACCGGCAATTTGCTTACTCCAGCTCAACCAAACATAACGAGCGTTGGCACATTATCTAGTTTGAATCCGTTGGGTTCAGGTATCACTCATACACAGAGTGCCGGAGGAAATGCTGCTTCATTTATTAACTCAACAGCTGTAAGCACGCTCACCATCGGTATTGCAATTTCTGGTGGCGCATGCGATATTCGATCAGCTACTGCAAGCGATCTATACCTGGGTGCTAATAATACGAGAAGGCTCTCGATTAAAAGCGGAGGTAATGTCGGTATCAATACAACTTCTCCGGGTTATCAGCTTGATGTAAGCAGTTCTTTCAATTCAACCAGCTTTAATATGAACGGAACACTTACCACAGCCTCGGCAACAGATTTGAATGGAGTGACGGGATATGGAACGTATCTGAGTGGGTTCTTCGCAGCGCGCAAAACTATGGTTACCATTCCACACTCAGCGATTCAGTTCGGATCGGGCAGCGCTACCACAAACCAGGCCAAATACTTTGCGAGCACGAGCCTAAAGAGATAGTATTCGAGTCTTTAGTGTGGATGATTCCAGTCCACTGACCATTGGTACGCAAAATGATGGATCCTCTAGCACCAATAGAGCATATCCCCTTCTAAATCTCGTTTCTTCGATTGATCCCACTGCACAAGTAGGTGGTTTTCAGCTACAAGCGCTGACTTATTCAATATCAACTGGAATGATGAGCCACCTGTTGATTTAACGTCTCAAACGCATAGATTCTACTTTAATGTTAGAAATAGTCAGCCTCTTTAAAAGTGGATATCCGCATACGTATACTCTTGCAACTTCTGCTGATGCCTTTTGTATAAATTCTCCTGATTCACCCCCAGCACCAACGAGAGGATGTATCTACCTTGTTTCCGACACTGTTAATAAGATGATATCCAATTCGAATACGCCATACCCATTTCATTTAGACCAGCGCCAGTTACACTAAATTCTGGCAGTATTAACATATAGGCATCTAACGCATTAAACGATTAATCGGCAAACTTCGATATGCCGGTTTTCATGGAAGTCCTCCAACACGTCGCCGATTGTATTGCAGCTGAGTAACGTTAAGAATGCGACTTCAACCAGCTCTGCATATTTTGGGACCACAACAATAAACGACCTCGTGATGATGACTGGGAATATAAGATGACTAACGATAAGTCTTACCGGGCAATTAGGCATATAAACTGGTTCACCTTCTGCAACGCTGCATGTTTCAGGGGCAGTATCGAACACATTTAATGTTGGTGGAAGCTTATACTCTCAAACAACATCGACTGCATCAACGTTCAGTCAGCTGGGCCCAGTAACTGTTTCCGTTAGTGCCATGTTCTCGGGACCAATCCAGCGTTCCAGTATTTGTTGTACTTCGTATAGACGAGCTAAAGAAAACATCAAGCAACTTAATAAATCTAATGTGAAAACTTCTTCAAAGTAATTGTTTCACGTTTAACTACATTAAATCGGAAGAAACCATTCCTAAGATTGGCTTCATTGCTCAAGACTTGAATCGCCTTGGCTACATGCATTTGTTGACTCGTACTCCAAATGAAAACATCAAGAAAGAAAATGATGATGACATCGAAGGAGCTCAAATGAACATTGACTACAATTAGATCACAGTCAAGAAATTGAAGAAGCGTATTGAAGAACTAGAAGCAAAAATGGACCAGCTAATATAGACTATGAAGACCAAAAATCCAAAGCCAATACCCGAAGGTACAGCCATAATCAACTCAACTGTGATATCCTCGGATTCAGTAATGATAATCGATGGAAGGATTCTGCTGTCAATTTAAGAAGAAATAGATTCCAGCGTGATTGAGATAGATTTGAAACAAAAAATGATCGAGGTGCTTCGAGGAGTGAATGGGCGCTTGACAAATAAATTTCTTCCAACCAGCAAGAAAAAAACACCAAGTGCATTCGTATTCAAAAACGATTTGTAACTTCGGGAGGATAGTTTCTCGATGTAGAGTGATTTTGTTCAAGTAAAAATTTCGGTGTCTAATATAACATTCATCCACTCTTTCAATTGGTTTTTGTATTCGTTCAAGCTGACCTTCGTATGTTTTCCTTTCATTTTCGGTGCATGCGTATCAAAATAATATTACCATGCCTTTCATCTACGACCGATTTAAATTGTGTTATGATAGTATTAAGAAGATGGTTTCGATTCGCACCTGTGCTATCATCAACAACTCTATTAAAATAAGCTTTTACACGCTCCTTAACCTCCTCTTTCTTATCAGCGCCAAGATCAGGAGAGCGCTTTTGCACTCTATTTCTTCCTGTTTGATTTTAGTTTTTAGTCGGAGATTAGGAGACGTCTCATCTGGAGCAGGTGCATCTCGTTTACGTTTAAGAACGCTTTTGCGATTTCACTGGCCTTATCGTCAATATCTTCTTTAGTAGTCTTACGGTTATGCATAAATATCTGCTTCTAAAATCTTTATTTTTAGTTTAGTATTTTCGATTACGATCTTGAAAAACTTCTTCCACATCCATCTTTTCCTTTTAGTGTAATCGAAGTTGTTCATATGATTTATGAAATTTTCGTCATTGAACATTTCCTCGTACGAGGAGCTCGGTGGAGCATTCATGTTTCCGCCCGTATCAGTTAGCTGAGGAACATACTCATATTTTTTGAAGATGTAGATTTGGATTTGGTTTCTTTTGGTGAGGGTTTGGTTTCTTTTTAATGAGTCATGGGGTTTTCCTTCGTCACCCCTAACTAGTGGGGGAGCCTTCTTCGTGAGCTTACTAGTAATCTGATCATAGTCATAATCTCGTGATTTGCCCATGACTTGTTGGAACAGACCTGCCAAAGAATCGCTGCTAGCGTCGTCTAAAGCTTGCTGCTGAATCATTGTTTTCACCTTTGTACCTTGTACAAAGTCACTCTTCGCCATTGCATTGTAGTAGCGATCATGCGCGTTTTGCTTAGTTTGCTTATCAGTGAAGAATCCGTTCAATTGTGCCTGGATGCTATATTGGCAAATAAAAAACAAATACTAATTGATAGGGGTCGGCATTTAGTTTTGAACCGCGCCTTGAGAAACCGTTCCCATAGCAGTGTCGACGTTTGCGACAACTTCGCGTAGAATGTGATAATAAATCGTAAGCGCGTAGTTCGTGTTGTTCGTGCCCGAAACAATGATCGACTTGATTGCATCATCTTCGCTGGGTAGACGACGGCCAATGCCAACAGCAATGAATCGGTACAGTGATTCCCATAGACGCTGAGATAGTAAGCCAGCATTAGTGACATCATCGAGACCGCCATCAACACCAGATTTTATCATTTCATTGTAGGAACAGATCATAACCAAAGATGACTGGAGTGTTCCAAATTGGAGCGCTACCCACCGTCACCAGGATATTTTTAGGGCTGCATAAGGACTTGTCGTGGCCGGAATCGTTGAGAAGCAACTTCGGAACGGATTGATCACATCTGGTAAAGGGCTTGATCCAGGCTTAACGTTTGTGATAACAGGTTGCATAATCAATTACTTCGGATTGGCAATACCATTTGTCACCGTCCATGTAAATGACTGACCAGCTTGGAGAGTAAACTTGTAAGTTACACGTTCAAAGTAGCGGAACGTCTTTTTTTGGATAAGAGCGTTGTCTCCTGATGGATTTGGGCTATACGTTGGAACAAGTAGACGAGAGAACATCTGCGATGGACCAATACCACTTCCCGAAGTTGCAGTACCATTAACATCGGCTGTGACTAATAAATTTGTTGATCCTAAACCAGTTGCTGCATCAGTGTTGGTTGTATTTGCGGATGAGCCATTCCAGAGAATTGGGCAAGTGTTGCCAAAGTTCATGTTGCTGTTGATGCTAGCAATATTCGTTGCTGTAACCGTACCTGCTGCTGCACCAGTGGTAATTGACGTAGCAGAGCTGTTATAGCTGATATAGATGGACCCCTTCGGGTTCTTTTGCATTGGGCATTTCTTAATGGAGCCGGATAAACCAGATAGGCTAATGCAGGCTAAATAATGAGCTACGTAAAATGGATCACCGGCGGCAACGGCGCCAGCTGGCGCGACGTATACTTGCGGCTTTGACACAGCTTGGATATTGGCATTAGATCCCATGATATCATATGCAATTCACCGCTGCTTTGATCAAGCGCGGTGAATAGCGATCCATCGTACGCACCTACATTCGAAAATGAGTTAGAAAGGTCCTATTCGCAACAGTGCCGTTAATATAATTGGATGTTGTCATGTTGTCGAAATTTTGGGCGCCTCCGGGAATTGGTAGACGATATTCATCTAGCACGAAGTTGTTCGTTGGTCCTCGTTTAATGTAGGAGTTGTAGTCCCATTCGGTTAGCGCCTTGAACGTAGCATTCACATTTTCGTGAACTTGATTTGTCTGAACGGTAACGCCATCTACAACAACTTGAACGGAATCAATGAATTGCCAGGCACCTGCCTTATGAACAAGCTGACCAATGGGACAAGCAGTTTCCAGGTAGCACTTCAGAGCGGGGAACAGGACATTTATTGCGAGTGTCTGAGTGAATGGCGGGTTCGAGTTGCGCTGGCCGAGGAAACACCGAGAATGAAATCTACAACTAAGTGCTAGGTCTATCTTCGGCCTGGAACTGAGACGTGTGTCGAGTGAACTATCTTTGTTCTCGAACTGAGACGTGTGTCGAGTGAACGCTTCAGGCTCCTGGAAATAGGAGCATCCTTAACAGGATATTTCCACTTTCCAGGTAACACTTCAGAGTGAGGAACAGGACATTTATTGCGAGTGTCTGAGTAGATGGGCGTGGTGCGCGGCCCCATTTGAGAATTTATTTGCGTGGCGCAGGCGCCGGCTCAATATTCGCACTATCAGCTTTGATAGTCCCGTTGATGCTTGAGCAGCTTACCGGGGATATTCTTCGTAGCAATTTGAGAGCCACCTCCCCAGTAGCTTGATGGTCAGTCCGTCAGCACCGTCTTCTGCGAGTGCTGTGGCACCTCCAATTCTAAGTGAGTGAGTACCGTAGTTGGAGGGCTGCCCTTCCGCTTTCCGTGCGGTGGTCTTGATCGCGCTCGCCACTGATCGTGAGCTGAGATTGTCACACAGGTAGCGACAGGCTTCAATCTTGAGAGACTTGCGGGCACTTGAGATGTGTCGGAGTGCCTTCACTGGGTATAGCGCGCTGTGACCTGAAGCGTGCATGGTTCTCCGGGCACCCCGGCCAAACTGGTTGTTCTTCGCCCCTTCTAGGCCGACAGTGACAGACGTAGACCGTACTGGATCAACACGATGTCCTCTTGTGTCGGAGAAGTATACGTTCTTGCGTTTGAGACAGTAGAAGCTGTATTTCTCGTCGACCTGGAGGAATTCGAATCTTCTTAGTAGAAAGAAGTAGGCGAGTAGGACGCTACCCCAAAGCAGAAGCTGTCGAAGTTTGGATAAAATCGAGCGAGCGGTGCAGCATTCGCAAAAATGGCGGTGTGAACGGCTGCTTTTTGCGGCGAGGTGTAGACATTTGCTTGATACCTTGAAGCAAGATGTCAAGTCTGGGTGTCGAAGGTATGATAGTGTTTTTGTATCTCCGGTAAAACCAGCGAATTGCTGTATTCTTTAGAAGGATCGTAGCGTGTTGGTTTCCTTGGTGGTTCTTGTTCCAACCGCTCACCCAACAGTGCGTAGCAAAATACTCCGGTGGTCGTGACGTACGATTGATCAATACCCATCATGATCCCATCCGACGAGCGAATTGACACCACTGCTTCCAGTGCTGAGAGTACTTGGGTTTGGTAGCGCGCGCCACGGCGCGTCCGCGCAACATTGTTAGCACGCGTCGGAGAGATTGTTGATAGGAGGTTGGAGAGGTTCCTGCTGCCACGACGCCGAAAGACTAGTCCAAGTTGTTAATAAGGGGTGAGTATTGCTCCATACGCGAGATCCCGCATCAGCCATAGTGCTCATCTTTCCTGCGAAATGAGTAGCCGTACACACCAGATTGTGTTGGAACTCGGCGAGGGAAAATAACAATTTTATAACTGCGCTTGGGAATGCGATGACGATCGCTTGTTCACCCATGCTACTGAAGTCATGTTGTCGATGTGGAAGCAGACATGGGTTGGAACGTCTTTCGGTGAGGACGCCCAAACTGGACCCCATAGTAGGGCTGCCAGGACTGCACTACGCAACTCTCGAATATTGATAGACAGGTTAGATACTTTATCTGTAAAGAATTTCTGGCGGATGTAGCGGTGGCGTTGTGGCTCCAGAACGCATAAGCCGTCGTCGCTCGCATTCATATATACGTGTTTGCTTGGTTCTGCCAAATCTGCGAGCGTAGCAATCGGTATTTAGTTGAATCAGTCGGCGTACCGGAGAACCATGTGAGGTCGTTTAGTGCAGATCTGTCCAGGCAGTGAATTTCAAATCGAAGGACGAGTTAGCTGCTGTCTGAAGGCGCTGGAAAAATGAGCGAGCAGGGCGTAAGCAACATGAACCGTGACGCAGACTGCCCAGCACTTGCAGCAGAGTCGTCTTCGTAGCTTTCTTGGCACGGAGCGCTGATTGAACTCTGTAGAGAGCCTTTTTAATTTTCTCTGCCGGGATTGAGACATACTCACGGTCAGTGTCCCACAGAAGCCCCAGCGCTTTCCCAGTTATTGCCCATTTGGTGAACTTGAGTTCGTTGATGACAGACGGTCCGAGAACGGTAGCCATAGCTCTACGGAGGGCCAGATTAGTGTCGAAGCTTCGAGTAGTGATATTGGATTCGACGTTAATATGGCCGTCACACCACACGCCGCCGACTAGAGTACGGGTGAGTCCGTGCCCAAGATCGTACTGGCCGTTGATATGTGTACCAGCGAATGGAACGCGGGTGAGCCGCACCAGCCGAATCCGCAGGATAGATCGAGGACAAGTAAGTCGTCGATGAGGAACCCAAAGACGTGGACGTGTTCTGCGTTGATCGGTACGTGGCGGAATGCACCAGTGACGTCTCCTAGCATAACGTTTATCCGGGTTCTGGATCGAGATCGCTTTAGGCGATGGCACGCGGTGGATTGTAGGGAATTCCCTTTGATCCGTGTAATCGTTGACCGACGCGGAAGGGGGGGGGGGCGAATAGTCGTTGATTAAACGGATGTCGTAGCCGCCGGGCTTCTCGACGACACCGAGTAGGCTAATGAAGACTTCCGGCCAACGATCAAGAAGATGTGATTTGACGATCAAGTACCTACCGTCCGCTTGACCTATTCGAAGGTGTCGTGGGATTTGTGCGATATGGCCACAGATACGCCGATGATTTATCGGGCGTATAGACTGCGTAGGTGCGGCGCCACTTATCCGCTGAGGTATCAACCCATGTTGGACGATTTCATTCCAACGAACCGTGCTGTTGCGCACCACTGGGTTTGACGGTAAAGGGAGCTCGAAGAGATGCTTGTTTGGTTTAGGATCATCGATCGTCTCACCTCTCACCTGTCGAACCACGTCGGGTAGACTCCGTTTTTCGTGCTCGGCAACGGCTGTCCGGAACGACACAACATTCACATCGTTGTCGTCTGTTGAATCTGTAGTAGGATCAAGTAATTTGACGCCGAGCCGCGCAGCGAGGTCGGCATGGCTGTTTGTGGATTTCGGTGGCGCACTGATACTGAGCACGCTCGAGTGTAGACATAAACCGATCGTACCGGGAGACACACGCCGACTGGCAATATAATTGAATGCTGTCATGTTGTCGAAATTTTGGGCGACTCCGGAAATTGGTAGACGATATTCATCTAGCACGAAGTTGCTCGTTGGTCCTCGTTTAATGTAGGAGTTGTAGTCCCATTCAGTTAGCGCCTTGAACGTAGCATTCACATTTTCGTGAACTTGATTTGTCTGAACAGTAACGCCATCTACAACAACTTGAACGGAATCAATGAATTGCCAGGCACCTGCCTTATGAAGAGGCTGATCAATGGAACAAGCAGCGGTCGAGGTGACAGCAGAGTTGCCGCCCTTGAGAATCGGAAGCTTAATTGGAAGCTCAATCACAGCTTCTTCCCAGTTGACAAACGCAGCTTGCGAAGCGATCGTGGATAAATTGAATTGAATTTGACCAGCGTATTGACCAGGGTTACTAGTCGAATCCTGAATATAACGGATGCGCCCAAATAGTGTCCTGTGGGGTGCTACATGCCTGCACTATTAAATACAAGCCTCTCCCGAATAGAGTCCTCATAAAAGCTACCAAATCCGCTATTACAAGCTTGCTGACCATCCATTCTACAGAGAGAAATACTTTTCCGTCATTTTCAATAATGCCTCATCAAAGGCAGTCGGTTAGCAATGAGCTAAAGCAAGAGGTGATCAACTGGATTATATATGTCGTTGCAAGGACCTATTGTACATGGAAATAACGCTTGGAAAAAGTCAGACCGAGTCGAATACACTCGCTTTGGTAGTCCACGTATGTCAAGTGCTGACACCGTTTGCGATTGGGTCCTCCGCGCGTGGCGAGACAGAGGCAACAACCATGCGGAGCGCTGAAATAGCAGGCTTCTCGAGAGACCCCTCGTCGTGGTTTATATCCAAGCACGATGTGTATGGCGCAAAATTTCGTGAAAAGTGGTCGAGGAGCCGCATATGGACGAAGACGTCAATCTGTTAAATCCTTTAGAGTTAGATGATGCGTTAGACGATATTAACCTAGTACACGAATCATTTCAGCAAAGAATAATGTTCTCACCCGTTTAAAGTCCTCTCTGTCACTTTCGGGCGGCACTATTAAATATAGTCCGGACTCTAATAGGGCGCGTCCGTTTGGTCCATTTCTTATCACGGAAGCGCGTTTCGGCTGAAGCTGGCTCGACGGAGTGCTCGAAAGCAGAGATATCACTTGCGGTGGACATTGTATAGTACGAGATTGCTTCATATTGGGCAAGATATAGATCGTCAGCAAAAACATAATAGCAATTAAAAATTGCATGGTATCTACGAGATCGAGCATGAGCGAGAAGAAAATTATTAAATCGTCTCGAACAGCAGATGATCAACTAATGAAACTCGCTAATTCTCTTGGGGTAAAGGTAGATCAAATCGATGTCATGCAAAATCTTGATAGAAGAAAAGATTATTGCATTTTGAGCATGGGCAATCCAATTATCGGAGGAAGCCACTGACTCGGAGTCTCAAACAAAGATAAGGCTTTCTTCGATCCTCTTAGCGGAATTGATGTCCAAGACCCTCGATTCGGGCACTGCGGGACTTTCGTAACTACTATTTGCAGCATGGAAAAAGGAGGAGTTCTACAAGCTATTTAAAATGTACATGAATGGATCTATTTTAGGCGATGATACAAAGATATATAGCAAACCTATTTGATACAATTTGAGGCATCATGATTGGCCGCGTTTACAAAATAATCTGTTTAAAGTCAAACGACATCTACATTGGATCAACATTCAAGGCGTTACGAGTGCAATGGAAGCAGCACCGAGATCGCTATGGAGTTTACAAGAAGAATCCAGCGAGATCAATGAGTATTCACGCGTACTTTGATAAGCTCGACATCAAAGATTTCAGAATCATTTTAATCAAAGAATATGAGGTTGTTGATCGAAAGCATCTTGAATGTAAGGAGCAGCTTTGGATTAGCAAGCTTAAGTACATAAATCAGCAATCAGCATCCAATCCTTTGCGCAAGTCATATAATGCTCGGAAAGACTATAATCAGTCCTAAAAAAGTAGAAAAATAAATGTACGTGTGGATCCACATATCGAAACGGTAATTCAAAACGCTACGAACGCACAAAGAAACACCAAAAGTATTTGGTTGACAACGTTCAATAAACCAACATTTTTTTTTAGTATTTGACAAGGGCAAAAAATACCTCACCCCGAAGAATGGTTCATATTCGACATCACTAGACTCAAGGCCTTCGCTCGAATGTTAGCATCGAACTTCAACTTATCAGTGTCGATTGTAAATGGCTTCACGCTGATTGGTGTGATTGTTGGATTACAAACTTTGTAATAATTATCATCAATAACGACTAGCTCCTCATCAGTTGTATCAACGTATTGAATGTCCATTTTTTAGGTATATATATCTGATATATATTTAAGATAATGTAGAAACGATGTAATTATCTTCATGTTGTTCATGTGTCATTTCTGCGATTGACGCTTAGCGCCACCATGACTATCTACACACTGTCATTATCTATATCTAGGAGTCTTTAATTTTTTGCCAGGGTCACAAAAAATATCATAGTCAAAGCACTCTGTTCTTCTAGCCACCGCTTGTGTTTAAGCGATCGAACGTGAACATGGCGATTTGCAGCAGAATATTGACCACCACACTCGCAATTGGATCGAGTTGCCAGCCGCTCCTTAGAAGTTGCTTCCCATCGCCGCTTATTGGCTTTATAATATGGAACTGGATAAAGTCACACAGTGGGATCTGCGTCATAAAAAAGTAAAATTCAAGTAGGTGGATAAATTTACCTACGTTTGAAAATAAGAAAAAAGGAAACACCCCCACTCCCCCCTTTCACCCATCCTCCACCGTTTCCAAGTCTTTCATTTCAGAATCCAGCCCCGACAATGGAAAGTGCTGCGTCGTCGTCGGGCGCAGAATCTGAGAGAGACCAAGCTACGGCGGCTTCCCCCCAGACTCACGTCCCTACTACAGCTTCTGAGTGCGCACCATGTATGGTATGGCTCTACTACACAAGCTGGGACAGCTTTTTCGCCGCTTTGACTGAGTATCAAAACGCTACTCATCTAGTTTCCGCAAACGAACATCGACAAGTGTCGCTTCACGCTACGATGAATTGAACAAACGAGGGACACTGACGCCTACAACACAGATCCTGCTGTCCTTTACAACGTATTACCTATAAACGCTAACGGTGTTTGACCCTCAGCAGCAGAAGAAGCACTATGACGAATGCGAAAGCATAATCAAAGCTCTGTTCGAAGAGACCGCGAGAGCCATGGTCACGCAGCGAGAAGAAAATTTGAAGCAGCTAGATAGTCACAGCTGCGGCCCATTAGTGCTTCTTTTTTTTCGAGTGCGTTGTGCGAGGAATAGTCTTACCAGCCTCGCCTTCCAATGGCCTTCTACGCTACTATCTAATGCGGTGTTTACTGAAGACACTACAGGTTTAGAAATAGTTTTAAAAAACTTAAAAATGGCTTCCCCTTGCTTCTTTATTGTTGGTTCGACAGTGTACACAACAAGGTCAGGTTGATGTGGAAGAGGAGACGACAATGACGTTCATATTCCACTACTGGCAGATCTGGTCTCACTTCTGGTTGAGCCTGCGCACGAGAATAAGCGTGGTCTCGAGCGTGATGGGGCCCGTGAAGGTCGTACCCAGGCGTGTGCTGCTGGTCGTGGTGTTTACCGGCAGGGTGTAAATGGTCGTGATGCCTGATAATTTGGGTCAGTGGATGGTTGGCAACATTTTCTTGGTGGTTACATAGTTGGTTATCGCTATCAAGTAAGTAGCAACTCCTCCGTCGTTGTCGCATCTGAAAAGGACAAGTTCTAAATACGTTCCAGTAACAACCGCTCCTGTTCAGTTACATTTGAGCGACATTTTCGCAGCTTGGCTCCTGCTTCATTGTCTATATTTAGTGAAATCTATTGATGGTATCCTACGTAATTTACGCCTGGTGTGCCTTTTCATCTCACACACGGCTGATGTGACCCACGCAGTGACCGAAATACGCACTTAAGTACGAAGTCACAAACCGGCTGTGTGACTCTAACACTGATCTTATAATTTAGGCTCTACACCGTTCACGCTAATTAGTCGTACCCTGACTAATTGTGGTGTACAGATCAAAGCCCTTTATACTGGGATTTCAGCTGTCCATTTTGTAAAACCTACCTGTCTAATTTTTAAACCGAGCATACTGGAACAAAGAGCTCGATGAGATCTGCTCAAAACCGGTCTTTTTCGTTAGATTTGATCATTTTTGTCGAATATCCCGAATTTGTAATGTCACCAGTGCAAATCCAGGACTAATTGCGAACTACGACTAATTAGCGTGAACGGTGTAATGCTTTCTTTATTTTGTTCTTGATAATCCTTCTTACGCAGATGATCTATCGTAAATAAATTATTCTTATTCACTGCTGATTTTCTAAAACATTGCAATCCAGAGCTGTTCATATGCTTGAAGATGCTGTTGGTCGACAACCTCATACTCTTTTACAAGGGTGATCTTATATTTATCAATTTCATATGCTCGAAAGTATGCAAAGATTGACATATGTGTACGCTTGCCTTCGACCCAGCGTCGAAAGTTATGTTTATGCCATTGTCAACGCCATGATAGCTTATTGATAGTAGAAGCGATATAGCATAGGCCACTTTCAAGATGAATGATTCTGTAGACTCGGCCAATCTTTTTATATCTCAAATTGGATTTACAATTTTTATAGCTTCTTTGTATTGATGAACATATTTTATCAGAAATAAAAATATTGTTGAGTTCCGAGGTTCCAAAACCGCTTTCCGAACCGGTTCCAAAATGATGTGGTACTTACTAGAGCTGCTGTGGACAGGGGTTGGCAGTAATTTGGGAGAGCAGTACAAAATAGTACTATAGTACTATTACTGTTACTGCAGTAGCCAGTAGTCTCCTCGAATATGATCAAACTGTTACTGTAGTAACCAGTAACTCAGATGCGGCTACAAAAGTACTGCCGAGTTACTACTGAGTTACTGTCGATACCCAGAAGTGCATCTGACAATTCTCCATTTTGACCACCGCCCCGGACTCTATGTTGGACACGAGGAGGCTTGCTAACAGCACAGTATACAGTCTTTCACACTCTCGTCGTCTCCGTCGCACGATTTCGGCGGCTGCAGGATCTGAGCTCAGTCAACGGCCCCAGTTCGACCAGTCAATCTTCTTGCCGTTTATCTTTGATGGTTTGAAGCTCATTCTCGTTGCACCCCCAAGAACGCTTTCCCAGCTCTCGTCACGCTTAAACCAACACCCACCACGTCGATAAAGTGCTCCTTTGTTGACTGTATCAACCCGGAGCTAACAAAGACGGATCCGTGTTCCATCTGCGATCAACCCGTCCACCACCTGTGCTCGAACGACCTGTGCGACCCGAGTAACATTGCTGTTCGGTGAGTTACGGTTTAAAGATACTAAATACATTGTTAAGCACTAACTGTTGTGCTATAGCTTCTGCAGCTCCACGTGTGTCGCTGAATGGAAAAGCAAGAACTTGATGGTAACCAACGCTGCCGACGATCGCATCACCTTTGAGACTATGGGGTGGTCGCCAGATTCGTCTTGTCAAGAATCCAGCCAGACTGCGTCCAGTGGTTCGACGGAGCCATTCTTCTGCCAGATCTCGGATGCAACGCTTCCGCCTGACACCCCAGCCTGTGTGGACTCGTACGGGATCCCTCTAGACATACACCACTCCCGCCAACTCGGCAAGCGTGACAACGTATGGGACGTGGCCCACGTACTCGCGGCACCGTACTCGATCGGTAATGACGACGACGCCGAGAGGTTCACCCACATCTGCCTCATTTGTGCGGCTAACGCAGCCAGTCAGCCCAACGCGGCTGGCAACGCGCGGGAAACCGTACTTCGCCGGTGGAGCCACACGTCCAACGTCAAGGACCACATGGTTGCAATGCATGAATCGCACCCCGTTGGCATGGCTGAAGTGAAAAAGAGGACCAAACGTGCTCGTCGGCAGATAGCCTCGGTGATGAACGATGTTAGTGGATATATTTCGCAGCGTGTCACCGAGTCGCAAGAGCCGATGGCGAAGCGAGGTGCTCTGCAAAAATTGTGGAGCCCAACACAAAAGGAGCTCCATGTGCACATTCCACGTTGGTTGATCAACGATGGTAAATTTGTGTGCTTTGTGTGCTATCCGTTACACGATACACGTATTATGAAACTGGTGTGTGTCTTTGCAGGCCTACCGTACAACACAGTTGTGACCAAAGACTTCCGTAACCTCATCCAACGAGTGACGGGCACGGCGAACGTTACCATCCTCTCGTCGAAGACCTACGCCAGCATGCTTGAGGCTTCTTTCCAGCGGTTTTGTGCGATGGTGAAGCAAGGAAGAGTTTGAAGCGGCTTATCGTTTGCCGTTTCTGAACTTGTTGCACGACTCCTGTACCACCGGCAACAACAAGAAAGGGATTGTGGGCACCTCTGTGAGCTTCATCAACCGAAACTGGGACTACTGCAACCTCGCGCTACTGGTAACCGTGCACAATGGTTCGCATGCGTCGTCCGAGGTAAAGACACTAATGACCTCCCGAATTGAACCGTTGTATGGGATATCGATTGCGGACATGGCGCAGTTCACGATGTCCGACACGACTCCCAGCGCTCGCAAGGTCTCCAAGTTGTTCGAAGATTCGATTCCGACCGACTGCACCATGCACGTTTTAAACTTGTGTCTATTGTATGGCATGGGTATGAGGGAGAACACGGAGCCGGTGTACGTGATGGACTCCGCGACCAACATGCAGAAGAAAGAGCGCCGAGTGTGCACTGTCGGTGGCCCGTTTCCCGAAGGCGCCCGACTGATTAAAAAGGTGTGGAGCCTTAACAACTACTTCAACTCGCCGCAGCGTGTTGAACGGCTGACCAAGCTGCAATTCTACAGTCTCCCCGAATCAAGCCCAATTGTGGACTGCGATACTCGCGTGGCATCCTCTGTGACCCTCTTTCAACGTACAATCGTCGACTACTCCGCGTTCAGAGATTACTTCAGGCACTGTGAAAAGTACGACGATCCCCAAGTGTTCGACAACTTGTCGGAAGACGAGTGGGAGCTACTGGTTGAGATGGAGGCCATCACAGGGTCCTTGACCGACCTTGCCCGCATTGAAGTACAGCGGAGCAACCAAGTGGAATCGGAGCTGTTCGTGTTGCTGAAGGCAGCTTTTGATCGGCTGAGCACTGACAAGTATCAAATCTACAATATTGACGCGGTTAGAACACCCAAGACGAACGAGAACTCCCTTCCCCGCCGTGAAGTTCGTCTGTCTGCTCTCTCCACGAACGCTGAAGTCTGTGTCCGTCGTATCAAATCGCAAGTCGCAAAGCGACTGCCTACGCTTACCGCTGAGTCTGTAGTAATTCTTCTACTGGATCCGCGAACGAAATTCACGGTCAGCGATTTGGTCCGACCTGTCAAATTTGCGGAAGCTGGCATCGCGGGACCCTCAACTGATACTGGTGATGTTGGTGCTGCTGCAATCGATGCTGTCATTGAAGACGCGGGGCTCTCGACAGATGCTGGTGATGTCGATGCTGCCGCAATTGATACTGTCATTGAAGATGGCAGGACGATCCTGCAAAATGCTCACCGAGAGGTTTACTGCTCCATGCATGCCAACAATTTAAGTGGCGCCTAAATCAAGGACTTGGACATGCCACCGAATCTGGACTTGGTGTCATCTGTCCATGACGAGCTCGTCATGTGTGGTGCCCCCGTACCAACAGAGGCTCCTCCTGAAAACTCCATGGCGAGCCTCCACGACCAAGCCGACAGAGTCCTGGACAAGTGGTACCAGTACACAGTGCAATGGGTGCGTGTTGCCGTCCAGCAAGCACCGGACGAGATGCTGTCAACGGAAGACTTCACCCGTCTGCTCCTTGTCCGCCACGATGACAGTGTATGCTGGAGACTGCAGGCTCTAGCGAAACACGTGGATATCTGTCGCTGGTACCGCGACGCAGGATCGAAGCTATTCCCGTCCATTGCTGCGCTTGCCCGTGTTTGGCTTGGCCGAAGCCCCTCCAATGCTTTCCAAGAGCGCGTCTTTTCTACCGGTGCTTTCGTCATGAACTCGCTTCGCACCAGCACGGACAATATGCGAGCCGAAATGCAGGTTCTCTTGAAGCATAACCGTACTGAGAACCGTCGTATGGAGATGGAGAGCGTCGCCGTGTCTGATTACACACAGTCAGCCTAGGTGTTCGCAACGTCCAGTTCAGTGGACCACACACAGGACGATTAGGTGGTCGTAAGCCAGTAGTTTAACAGTACTATAGTACTATTACTACAGTAACAAGGAAGACCAAATCAGAGTTACTGTTACTGCCAGTAGTTTATATTTTTTACTGGCGAACTACTGCCAGTAGTTCAGAAGAAACGCCGGTTCTGCCAACCACAGTCTGTGGTGCTTCAATTCTATAGTGAATTGCAAATAATTGTTGAATTGTGGGAGCCCTGGTTCCAGAATTTTCGGAACCAAATTTTAATAACTAGAAGGGCTGTGGTTACATTGACATCTTCTATTGGTGCTCGAGTTCCGAGTTCCTATACTTTCAGATATAAAATATTTGTAGAGAGGGAGGGTAGGGTATCGAAATATAGAGAGGCAGTGCTGCGTTTTTTTTGGAACTTAGGAACTCGGACCCGCATGGTATATAATACCTACCATGATCATAATAGTTGGTGTTGCATGGTTCGGTGACATGGGACCGATTCAAATCATGTTTCGGAACTTTACGCACTACTTGATTTTAAATAACTACAATCAGTCGGGTGGTCCCTCGCTCAAAGTGACTTGATCATACAATGTATGGGATGCGGTTTATGTTCCGGAACTCCCAGAACTACTGGCTTTAGATAACTACACCTGCTCTGGTGACGCATTTGTTAAAGTGTCGATTGGAAACAACGTTGCCAAATTCACATTAGGATTACGTTCACTCGCGCGATCTTTCTGTTGGCGTACGCTGGTGGACGGACGTAATGGATTAGGCTACATCGTCCGCCCAAGCAGTGCATAAAATGACATCTAGAGTACCCCTAAACCCCCTTATAGTGACTGTAGGGACAGTGTGATGTACTACATAGTACAAATCAGTCCTGGAGCAATTGGCAAATGCTGTTTACTATCCTGGTGGCGCGGGTTGTCGGGGTCCATCGGCTGCAGTGAGTATCCTCGTGCTGGCAACACTGGAGATTTCGTCTCTTGTTTTCCTTCATTTTTTCTTGCAGTACAAGTTTTATTTTTCTGGAATGCACCAGCTTGCCTACACATTGGAAACCTGCGTCTGCCTCATGCAGGTGAAACTTCTAACCGGAATCCTATTTCTAATTCCATTCGAGCTAGGGCATTTCGGTACGCTTTTGGGTGCCGACTCACCTGATTCAGTGTTTTTCATTTGCCTTTTGTTAAGGTGCTGACTTTAGTTTTTGATTCGAATGGCTCGACGACAACTGAAAAGTCTCTCTGAGATGAGTCAGCTGTGTTGGCGTTATGACGCACTTTCGAAGTACTGGCCTGGCGGATCTTCAGACACTGCACCACTCGAAGCGCCAGCATCGAAAATGAGAGGCACACTTTGGAAGGTTTCTGTGTCTACGGTCTACGAGGTCGCAGCGATCGATCGCAAGAGGTCTGCAGTTCGCTCCAACTCGTTACAGCTGCGTGAGCGTCGGTCTTCAATACGGTCAACAAGTAATTCGGCTCGCTTGGTCACAAAATCGGCCACGCTGGCGTCTGAGAGAGACGAGAACGTGTCTCCTGCCAAGCTTGGAGGCTGCGCAAAGCGTAGTAGATGAAATTTCTCGGCAGCGGCATACAGCTGGGCCTTCCTGCTGTTCCTGCTGCTGCTGGTTGATGACTTGTTGGCTCGATGCCACTTCCAAGCGCGCTGAAGGAGCAGAGCAGCGCTCTCTTTGCGTTGACGAATGAAGCGATAGAAGCGTGCGACATCGAGCACTATTTGCTCTTGAGGACACAATTGCAGCGTGTCGATGAGTACGACGCGCAGCAAGCACGCGATGATCATACCGCCGATGATTCCTCCGATTGCGATAATGATCTTGCCCCCGAGAGTCCACGGGAAGGTGTCGCCGTAGCCAACTCCAGTGATGGTGACAATTGTGAGCCAGAAGGCGTCGCTGGCGTTCGTCTCAGTCGGGTTGCTTGCCCTATTTGACCCAAGAGTGGCGACTATGAGACCCCCTTACGTGTAAGAAAAAGACAAAGAGTAGTGTCGACGCACCGCTCGAAGAAGTTGAGTGCAACTGAAGTGAGCAGCCAGTCGATTGTCAGGAGGCTCAAACTCGACTCGAAGGGGAATTTCTGGATGGAAAACTTGACGTTGAGCCAGATCGAAGACAAATCCACTTGATGAATTGAGCCTGCACGAGCACAAGCCAATTAAAATTTAATACATTGACAATAAAGTGCATTTTGTTTTTTTCCTTGATCGTCGTCCGTACCAACAAGCCGCGCTTCATGTGATGAAGAATTCAGCCCCAAGTGGTTTCTCAACACCCGACCGAGCAGGTAAATGCGTAGGAACACCAACACGTCTGTGATCGACAACACATAAGCGTCACACGACAATTTAGTGAGCCTTTTTTATCTTCATATTTTCCTTACCCAGTTGATCGAGACATAACACGTCATGCTCTCCCCAGCGCCATATCTCGCGATCGGCACTGAGAAGTGGCATGTGCGCTATGCAGACCAGCGCTTCTAGTAGAAATTGACTACCAGTCAGTGAGCTATCGGTTAGCAACTTATCGGATAGTATTGTGTTAAGGAAATAGCGACAAAAGTTACAAACCTCCGTAGACCTGAGCACGCGCTGAAAAATGCAGCGTCGGGTGGCAGTTGATTCGCCAAAATCTTGGTCTTGCACACGATTCCTGTCAGCAAAAAAACAATAATTTCAAAGAATGAAATTACTTTTTTTTGCAAGCAGTCAGTTTACCATCTATACGGACGTACGATAGCGCATCACGAGGGCGTAGAGAAGCAGCCCCGACGTGCCCGAGAGAACGCCCTTCAATACGATAAACACTGTCGAGTAGGACTGCGACGACGAAACGTTTCTTCCCTCTTCCACCAGCTGAGCCAGCTCGACTCCGAGCATTTCTCCCTCGACGCTGGCACACAAGATGCCAAACACAGCCAGAAGCAGCATGAAACTTTCCCAGAACGCCCGTTCTTCTGCCAGCTATAAAACAATTATTAGTTTCGACAATGTTTAAAAGTTTTGCTGGAAATTGCTACTGTATTAGACCTTTCGACTGCGATCGAAACTCTGGATTGTGGCGATTGTCGTTTGCCACTTAGTGTCGTTATCCTGGAATTTGCGTCGCAGCTACAGTAAACGTACGCGGGGAAATCGTTAGGCAAATGCGGGAGTGAGGACCCGGTATGCGAAGCGTGGACCTGGTCAATGTAGATGGCTCGGCGAGATATCGAGGAGGACCTTGGAGGCACGTGGACGGCTACATGCGGTGCGGGGCTCGAAGGGGGTGGCATCTCTGACCTTCACCGTCGACTATCCTTGAGAAGTACTGATTTACATAAATGCTACACAAATTACCACAACTACATAATATGTAGTTGTGGTAATATAATATTATACTGGGATAGTCTGGAAGGCTAGTCAACCCAAATCGGATTAATTCGTCGCGGTTACTGAAGCCGGTAGCTGAAGCCGATAGACTGAAGCCGGTAACTGTCCGGTTTACCGGGTAACTGTTCGATTTGAGCGAGAACAAGGAACGGACTAGACCAGGTGCAGCACAGCTTGAGCTTCGAGGTCTTCAGCTTTACCCTGGCGCCCTGACATGCGGCGGCATCTGCAGCAGCAGCACGCTGTACTGCTGAGCTAGGACGACGGAGGCCGTAAGCTGTAGTAGTAGTAGTAGAAATGCTATGTCTACACAGGTACTAAGATGTGTGTTTTTCCTCTTGCTGTTGCAGAGGAATTGCGAACGTATTTGTGTTTCCGGCAAAGATATTACAGGCTCCAAATGGTCGATTATCAGTAAACTGGCAATTGGATTGACGTGAAGAATATCCCAACGTGAAGAAAAGGCCGAGATGAATTCTTTCACGTGTCGCCATCGAGTGGCAAAGCTAGGGATGCATACGAATGTGTACATGTCGCCTGCGTATCCGTTCCCACGCAAACAGGGAAGTATGTGGAATGCCAATATGGCGAGATGGAGTTTTTTGCAGGCTTAAATTGTCGAATGCTGTTTTATTTTCACCCGTACAAGTACCAAAGCTTGATGTCGCCGTAGGAGTACGCATACGGCGACCAACTTTACTATTTGGAGATAAAATTTACTATTTGCTTCCTGAGCTCGTACGAGACCACGAAAGAATACCACTTTGCAAAAGATGTCATGCCAACCCGCGTGAAAATGAGTTTAGTGTCGCTATGCGGCTACGATCAGTTAAGTGTTCGGCTGGAAGCATTTGCGTCTTGTTGACATCCACCACATCGTAGAAGCTCTGGAAGCTGACGTCACCGTTCGGGGACACAAGTGCTAGGTAGTGGACATTGTCACCCACATATCGTCTCGCCCTTCGTTCTTCAGCACGCTCGCTTAATTGTGACGAATACAGTGGAGGCCTAATCACGTACCGGCGAATCACGCTGCTCCGATCCAGCATTGGCTTCGCACTATTTGCTGCAATAATAGCAGTAACAATTGAGTTCTCGCACTTAGCTGATCGTAGCCGCATAGCGATGAATCTGCGCGCATTTATCCTCTTCAGGACTTAAAGCCCAGCACACCTTCTCCGTGGGCGTTTATCGCGCGTGTGATAGCAAGGGATCCCGTGCGTGAATGGAAAACCTGGCAAAATAATGGTACATTGCTTGAAGTTTTCGTTGCCGACTCACCCAATATCGTTTACCGGGTTACCCTGTTCAACAAGGCAATTACAAGTTAAGGTGACGTCATTGTTCCTGGAAACAGTTGCTCCTTCTCCGGCGGCCGGATAAACCTGCGTTTTCGGCGAAGAATTGCGTTGAGATATCCTTCGGATCCAATGCGGATATTCACCTGGCCCAAACTCCTTTGTTGGATGCCTCGCAAATACCTACCGTTACAATTGCCAACCTTGCGGCAGTTGAGGACGGGTCTGTAACAACAACTATTGCTATTGTGCATCGGTTGGGCTCGGTGAAGCGTATTGTAGCGCGGAAGGGGAAGACGACTGATAAGCGAGAGCTACTCCTTGTTGATGATTCCGGGTACCAAATAGTTTGTACGACGTGGGGTCACCTCGCCAATGGAGACATTTTACAAAGCAGCGTTGTCGTTGTGAGAAATGCTACGCTTTCTACGTACAACAAACTCCGGTATGTTTCAGTTGGTCCTGCATCGGAGATTCTACACGAACCTGCGATCGATCGCGTCGACCTACTCCGTAATTGGTACGGTGGTTTGGCGCCATCCCATACGTTCTCACCTCTTTCCGGGCTTTAAACCTAGCGTTTCGTAAACGACAATTTTGCATTTTTTTTTAAAAAAAAGTAAGAAAACAATACATTTTCGTTTTTCTTAAACTATCCCAGCCTTCGCTTCGCCCTAGTTGAAGGACTTTAAAACTTGCGGTATACAAGCCTTCGTCCACGGTGTCAGTCTCTACCTGGATCACCACAGTTTACCTAGCCGTGCAAGGCGCTCGCAACTCCGGATGAGGGGAGCGGAAGGACGAAGAGCTCTACTTCATTGTCGGCAACAATTATGCAGGATAATGCGACGAGTTGCTGGGTCCAGATGGATTATGAGCTGCCAGAGAGCGAGAATACGTGAACATCGGTGCGAAATTACGGAGCGGGCGCAGCACATGGGAGACCATGCGATTGAACATAGCGGGGCATTCTTCTGGCCTTGTGGCATAACAAGCCACTCCCAGAGCATACCACTGGGAGTGCTTACCGCTGTGAGCGATATGTCACTCAGCTTCATGAGGATTTGATAGAATCCTTCGGTCAGGTCAATGGCGTTGTAGACCTCACTACCCGACATAGCGTCGAGCACCATGTCCTTCCGAAAAATTGGCGTCTAAGCAGGAATGGTATCGTCGTTCAGCTTGTTGAAGGCACGGACGATGCGCCACCCACCCGTGGCTTTCTTCACAAGGTCGGACTGGAGTGCGGCGATGTGCACTCACGCACATGACCAGCCTTGCGGCGGCTCTCGAGGAAGTCGTTGATAGCTTGGACCTGATTTCGCGGGAGCGGTCACTGCCGCGTCACACAATGCTTCGAGCCGGGCACGAGATCGATCTCGTGGAGAAAGCCTCGGTCAGCTGATAACTCAGCTGGGATCTTATCCGGAAAGACATCTTAATATTCGTGGGCGGACTCGTAGCTTGGGCTGTTGGATTTGCATAGCGCTTCCTAAGATTGCGGTGCGAAGCGCTCCTCGCGGGCCGAGTTCGGTTCGGCGCTCTTTAAGCGCGAGGGAGCGTCGTCGTCACTGACTGCATTCACTTCGAGCGACGCCAAATCGGTGTCGGTGATCAGGTAGACCTTTCGATTTCATTGTCCTCGAAGCCGCAAAGGAAGTTCTTCCAAGAGAAACCTGGAAGTCAAATGATCGACTGCGCCTCTCGAGGTGGGTTTGCAAGCTCGAGCGTTCGTCAGCGACCGGAGGTACCTTCCCCGTACGCAAGCACGCAGACCGACTCCGTCGGTGAGTTGTCACTTGGTACGGTCTCTCGGTGAGGTTTCAGCCCGACGCCGCTTCGACTTCTTCTATTTCCACCTCGCGTGCGAATTCAAGGATGATGAGTCGCTTTCGCTGGACGAGATATCACCCCCCTCGAGCGGGAGTTCCTTCTCGACCGCGGTAGTGTTCAGCGGGAGCGCCGACTGCTCGACCACCGGCTCAATTGACGGGAGCTTCTGCTCGACCGCCGTCTCTTCGCTCAACGGGAGCCCCTGCTCGACCGCCAGTTGATCTTGATCCCCGCGTCGCCGCGGGGAATCATCAATTAAGAGCACTGCGCAAGCCGTTCAGAGAGCACCATCGCTCACACTGTGCACAACGTGCGTCGGGGATGACTGGTCCATGACGGTGACGTGATGCCAATTTTGCTTGGCGACCAGGAGGTGCGTGAACACCTAACTCACATCATAATCACTGCGGCACTTGACCGACCGGACCAACCAGTCAATTTCTGATTGATAGCGCGACAACTACGGCATACCCAGGATGCAGTCAAACGCGTAATTCATTTCAATGAAGAGGAAGTCGTCGCTGCTTCGGAAACCGTCGAACGTGTATGGAAGGGTAATCTCACGCCGCGCGACGCAGCGTGATTTTCCATCGGCTAAGCTGACAGCGACTTACCCTCTACTTTTAGGGACAGCGATGTCCGACGGGGGTACCGACAAGCGCGACACACGGAGGAAGTTGTCGGTCGCTCCTGAATCAAGGAGCGCACGCAGTGGTCGACGGGCGCCGGCGACATGGAAACTGACAATGATCAATCTTGAATCACTCGGCGTAGCGGTGGCCCTAGGAGGTTGACCTTCCACCGGGGCCCCCGGACCTCCGTTCCAGCCAGCACCTACTGACCCTGACCGGTTTTTGGCTGGTCAGAACTCACAGGCTCGGCATCGATATGCGAAAGCACGGGTGGAGGCGCTCGGCACTCCAGCGCGCGATGACCGACATTCCGACAATGGAAGCAGGTGAAATAACGACCGTTCCGGTGCGTTACATGACGCTGGCGATTAATCGTCGCATTGTTAGCGTCGATGTCCATGGGCCCGGGCGCAGATTCTCGAGCTGCAGCGGGCAGCACGTGGGCGTATGATGCCGCAACCACGTAGTCCTCGCGTAGAGCGAGAACAAACGCCTCTTCGAGTGTAGAGGGATCCGATCTTGTAAGGCAGTAGCGCGTCATGCCTTCGCGCACACCGAACACGAGCACATGAGGCTGAGAGGCCATATCTATAGGCTTGGACACGATACACAGCGCGATGTGTCACGTCTTTTGGACGTAGTCGCACATTGTCATCGTGCCTTGCCGAAGTTCGAAGAAGTCTGCCCGAATTCGGGATTTATCTTGCGACGGCCCGAGCGCGAGCCAAAGGTAGCTCTGGAGAGTATCCAGAGTGGGGGAGGCATTGGGGTCGACGCCCAACTTGCCGAGGGCCCA